TAAAAAAGAATTGATTTGTAATTGGTTAATATTTTATTTTTCTTTTTAATATGCTTCGAGTCAACCTCTAATTTATATGTATAAAATTAAATAGATTATTATTATTATTATTAATATTATTATTATTATTCTTATTATTATTATTATTACTATTACTATTATTATTATTATTATTATAAAATTATATGCTCTTTTTGTAGTTAGATATGTAATTTTGGATATAAATTAGATTAGTCGAGTCATTCATTTTGTGAGTATATTGAGTTAAATATTTTTAAATTAAACTTGAAGTATAATTACTTTTCATTTTAGTTAAGTCCAATCAAATTAGTTTTATTTATCGCTTAAATATACATGTATTTTCATAATATTTATCAAATTATATGTTAATTTCTAAAAAATATTAGAAAATAAAGTGTAACTGATAATTTTTTGAATGTTCATGAACATATATATTTTTATTATTTTGAAAATATATTTTATATTATTTAAAAATATATTGTAATGGGGATATTACTATTTTGTAAACTTTCCTTTTTAATAAAGTCATATTATATACATATTTTCGTTTTAAATTTGTTTTAAAATTTTAGAAATATTTCCTTTTATTATTATATGTTATTTAGAAAAAAGTAAAAAAGAAATTAAATAAAAAATTAATAATAAACTTAAAATCTAACAATTCATTAAAAGTATCTATGTAATCAACCATCACGAGAATATATGTGAGCGCGACACGTAGGAAACTGACTTTTCAAATAATATTATAAAGATTGTCTATACTTCTTGATTAAAACAAACTATATATTTAATTTAGTACAATATATATATATATATATATATATATATATATATATATATATATATATAATTTGTCCATGATGTACGTCTAATAATACAATCATCCAATTAAAAAAACAGTTCAGAATCTTATTCTAATTTTTTTATTATTATTACTTTTCATTTTGTATGATACATTTTTCTATAAATTAGCTTTATCTTTCATCGTAGTGGTGATAATCAATAATGTTATACACTGTATTTTATGCTCAGGATCTATAATATTTATATACTAATTATTAAGTCAGTTAGTATATACTATATCATTAAATATATTGTACTATGGTTGACAAAAAAATATTGTACTATGTCATTTTATATTATGTAGTTTCAAATATTTAAAAATAAAAGTTAATAATAATAGTTTTGCAAATCATATGTTGAATAAAATTATATATATAAAAACTACGCTAACTTAATTTTATAAAAAGTATTCTAATAAAAAGATTATTAAGAAATTTTAGAACTATTAAAAACCTACAAATATGTTATATTAAATTAGCTAAGAAAATATACCAAGTAAATCTCAAACAATATCAATTTGACAAATGTAACTTTTATGAAATACAGACAAAATATAATAAGAGAGTAAGTTTGGATATTCAGATATCGAGTTGTTTCCTTTTTATCTGGGTTTTTTGTGTCCAAAACATTTGGCCCCAAATAGATATTTGAATTTTTTTAATTCGGATTTAGGTCGGTTCTTTTCATATCCAGATTGATTCTTTTCATGTCCAGATCATTTCATAATCATAATTCAACCACATGTAACATACATGTAATATTTGGGTACGTAGCATGTCTAGGTCGGTTCAGATATTAAGATCTGAAAAAATATTAGAAGTACCTGAAAACCTGAAAATAATCTGAAACGTGAAAAATAACCAAAAATCCAATAAATATCCAAAATATATTCAAATACTCAAAAAGATCTGAAATGCTTCCTGAAATATAACCCGAGAATCGAAAATACGTAAAATTTTATTTGAATATCGTAAATATATTTTTAAAAATTGAAATTTTACTTAAAACCTGAAAAATATAACTGAAAACTTATCCAAAAATAATATCCTTAATACCGAAAACATATCCAAAATAGCTAAATATACTTAATATGCACAAACATATCATATACATTGGGTACCTGGCCATATTTTGGATTGGATCTGTCTGAACCAAGATCCATAGGTTCAAAAAAATATCCAATATGTACACTTCCCTAGACTCAAATTCGTTTGGGTTTATTTTTGAATTCGAGTATTTAAGTTTAAGAGAGAAATTTATATAAAAATATACATACAAAATCTCAAATAAACTAATTCATAAATTATTAGTGTTTAAATAATTTTTCTTCCTCGATACAATACAATTTTGTAACATAATAATATATAACAATCACAAAATATTAATTTACATCAAAAACATTCCATGATAAAAAAAAACCCGCATTTTTAAACATGGATCAAAATCTAGTAAATAAATTATTACGTAACCAGTCTCTATGATCTTCGATTCTCCGTTATGGTACTCCAATCCATTTATGACTACTCTATGAAAAGTTCCAGGTTTAAATTAAAACTCAGGACAATCCAGCGACATCGAGTCTCTTTAGAAGATGCATTACCGAAACTGCAGTCTGCAGCCACCTACTACTCAGCACGAAGCTTATTTTTAAGTGAGCGATAATGTAAAAGATATATATGTAAATTGGCCGTGCAACAGCAAAATCATTCAGGCATTCATAATTCACTGACAAACGTCTCGGCTAAAAAAAAAAAAAAAAGAAAACGTCTCCGCTAACGTATGAATATTTTTTGCTGAAAACAACACTAGTTTATATCTCAGAAGAATTAAATTACCAATAAGGTATCTTTAATACTGTTTTGACGTGAAAACAATTTACAGTTAGTTACAAAAAAAAAATATTACATAAGGTCTTAGAAATAATCAGATCAACCATACATACGTTTGGAAAACATGGAACACGTACACGCTGATCAACTTTGAACAAAGAGGATACAATCATACAAGAGACAGATCGATAGGAGAAACATGATAGCACCGAAAATATAGATTTTATAGTAAAACTTTTAACAGAAATAAAATAAAATAAAAAGCTAACGTGATCTCATCGCAGTTGTAATCAATTATAGAAAGCAATAACAAAATAATTTCAACATAATCGATGCGGATCCGCGTTCCACCTTAATTAGTTAGGTCCGTGTTTTATAAGGACCTGGTTCTTCCATGCCACTTCAAATCAAACCAAGGGTCTTCTCTCTGTCGAATATACTATGATATGACCATATGATGACACCACATTTTATGGATTCCGATTTACGTTCCTCGCCCACCCAGAGACATGAGTTGAATATATATGTGCCCACGACACATGTAATAATAAGTAATGATTTTAGCGACTTCCAAAAAAAACTTCAATCCTTTTATATACACACACACATCATTAGTACTAATTGTGAGGATCAAGAACATGGATTTTAATTCAATACTAACTGATATATAAATTTGAATATTACTATTGCCCCTTTCTAATTATTCCTAATGTAGAATTTCTAACAGGAACCTTCAAGATCAATGTTTTGTCCGAACTAGATCTATTGTTTATCTTTCATATCATGTTAAAAGTCATATATTCCTATCTAAAAATTTATTGTTGATAAGTGAACTGGAATTTTTTCATGATGTTAAATTCTAAAAATCCTCGGACGTCTGATCTTAGTCCATAAAAATTACAGATAACTTTCTGACGAAATGTTGGTTCATCGGAATTTCTTGATACACTCCCATGAGTTGATTGGAATTTAAGGACAATTCAAGTCCTCGGAATTGTCGTAGGAAGGTGAGACGTTTTCTTGTAGTTACAGTGTCCATTTCGTAACATTAACTGATAATATCCAACATTTGGATAGAAGCATTTATCTAATACTCCCTCTGTTTCATTATAAGTGTCACTCTACATCTGTGCACACGGATTAAGGAAACAATTAATTTTACATATTTCCTATATAAAAACACAGTTAATTATACACCTAACCATATTTTAACCAATAGAAAAAATAATTACATAATAAAATTAATAAATTTTGAATTGAAAACCGAAAACGACACTTATTTTGTAACGCAAAAAAATCTCTACAACGACACTTAATATGAAACAGAGGGAGTAATTTGTATTAGTGTTGCTATCTTGTCATAATACGGATTCAGACATGAACGTGAAAGTGTGTGTGAGTTGTGGACTATAATATATATAAATATATATATATATATATACATCCAAACTTTACAAGTCCTTAGTTATTATTTGTCTTAAAAATAAGGAGTTATTTTGTGGAGAAGAAGATTCTGTGATATGAAATAATAATGACTTCGATTTGTTTTGTTGTGAAATGGGATGTTCTTTTGTTTCTTTCCAAATATCTGTGGGCTCTAAGTTTCAACCCCGTTTCCTTTAGGTCACATGTATGTAGGTGTATATGTATGTATATACATAAAGAGAGAGAGAGAGAAATAAAAAGAAGACGCTGAGTGTATGCAAAGAAGATTAAACAATCAAAGACCATACAATGCCTTCTCCAGGTAAGGTGCAAGGTCAATGAAACAATTAACAAAAAGAAGAAACTTTTTTCCAGGAAAATAAGAAAAAGTGGAGAAAGTAAAGAGAAAAATAAATCTTTTCGGCCTCGGAAAAGAGAGCTGAAACAAAAGTTGATTTCAGAAAGCAAAACCCTTTGTTTCTCCCTCTTAACTCATCTCCCTTTCTTCCTCTATTAGATAAAGCTGAGACAGCACTATCCACCAAAATAAAGAAGAAAACCTCTAATCTTCACACGAGAAAACAAAAGATTCTTCGAATTTTCTTTTCTTTTTCAGTAGTCACACAATCAGTGGCGGAGGCAGTAAGCAATCAAGGGGGTCAATTGACCCATGTCAAATTTTGCAAACAAAAAAATTTACTTGTATTTTTACAGAAATTTTTGATGAATTAGCTTATTGACCCCTGCAAAATACATGATTTGTTATCATATTGACCCCCCTAAACTAAATGTCTACCTCCGCCACTGCACACAATAATAGGTACACTTCTTCCAATACCACAACCGTTTAGAAAAACAAAAGATTATTATAAACTGCATCCGATGATAGATTACGAGAAAAGCATTAACAACCATCAGAACTATCCCTCCTCATCTTCCTCCGATCTTCTTCTTGCTATCAATGGAACCACAGTGAATAATAAAAGAAAACGGAGACCAGCAGGGACACCAGGTTTGTTTTTTACAATTCAGCTTTAAGTGTTTTAAAACTCGTGCTATCTAGTATTAAGTTCTCAATAATTCAGCTAAAATAATAATCCAAATAAATTATAAATAGGACTATTTTTTGGGTATCTTTTTGTAAACCCAGCTAAGGATTTTATTAATTGTGTACTGGATATTCCAAATAGGTTATATATCAATATATTTTTTTCAAATCTTGTGTATCGGTGGAAACAGATCCAGATGCAGAGGTTGTATCTTTATCACCAAGAACGTTACTAGAGTCAGATCGGTACGTGTGTGAGATCTGCAACCAAGGGTTTCAGAGGGATCAGAATCTCCAGATGCATAGAAGAAGGCATAAAGTACCATGGAAGCTGTTGAAGAGAGAGAAGAAAGATGAAGAGGTGAGAAAGAGAGTCTACGTGTGTCCTGAGCCGACTTGTCTCCACCACAACCCGTGCCACGCACTTGGAGATCTGGTCGGAATCAAAAAGCACTTCCGTAGGAAACACAGCAACCACAAGCAATGGGTTTGCGAGAGATGCTCAAAAGGATACGCTGTTCAATCTGACTACAAAGCCCATCTCAAAACATGCGGCTCACGCGGTCATTCTTGCGACTGCGGCCGCGTTTTCTCCAGGTTCTTCGTCATTACTATCTCTTTAATGTATTCTTATCTTTAACAAAAATAAGTATGGTCAATTTACTCGATGTTTTGTGGAAACCCTAGTTAGTTTATCTTGGGTTTTCAGAAGTTTGACTGTTTTCTTCTTGATAATTTATCAATACAATTTAACTTAGTATTTAGAAAAGTATATAACTGAAAATTTTGAATTTACCAAAGATCTTTTTCTGCGATGGTGTGTAATTTTGTTACATTACAGGTATATCTATCATCTATAATGCACATAGATTTGTGTACTTTTGTTTGTTTTGAATGTGCATATAGATCTTCACACAGCCTACCAATAGATGCTCAGTCTTTTGACTGTAGCCAGATATGCTTACGTCAAATAATTTAATATAGTTGTATGTTTTAAGACTTTAGTATATGATCTCATATTGACCCCATTACGCATTTCCATTACCCAAAACTTTGTTGCATTTATTTAATTCGCAAACTAAAAAGTCTTTTTAATCACGTAATCCCTTTTCAAGATACACCTAGCTAAATCCATAATTCAGTTTAATTTTATATTACTACCGCTGACTAAGTACGTACGTACTCCATCAAGCATACATATTCGTCGTGATGTAAACTCTCATCAGTTTTTATCATTTTAGCTAAGACCATATATAATTATATATACACTAACCGTCTCAAAACACACACATATATACACTTATTATGACTCTCCCATTACTGATTATTTCGCGTTATTTTCAGGGTGGAAAGTTTCATAGAGCACCAAGATAGTTGCACCATCCGGCGACCTCAACCCACCAACCAGTGGCGGACCCACTCTTTGACTTATGGTGTCAGTTGACACCACAAATAACAACAAAAATTTAATTTGTAGCCTATATTTCACGATACTCTGTGGTGTAGTGGTTAGATAGTTTAGGGATGAACCCACAAAAGTGGGGTTCGAGGCTCTACAACTGCACCTTGAAGCTTTTTTGACCCCACATATTTTTGTTTCTGGGNCCCACTCTTTGACTTATGGTGTCAGTTGACACCACAAATAACAACAAAAATTTAATTTGTAGCCTATATTTCACGATACTCTGTGGTGTAGTGGTTAGATAGTTTAGGGATGAACCCACAAAAGTGGGGTTCGAGGCTCTACAACTGCACCTTGAAGCTTTTTTGACCCCACATATTTTTGTTTCTGGGTTCGCCACTGCCACCAACCCCCCACGTTCTATGCAGAACACAGGGGCACATGCACCTCCATCAAGAACCCTTTCTACCACAAGCATTAGCCCATTATTGCATGGACTTCCTTTTTTGAGGCCACCACAAGAGTCCGATCAACAGTCACTAGCTTTCGCTTACCCTTTCGATCCTTCATCGTCTCCTTTAGAAAGCCTCCAGCTTCAACTATCCATAGGAATGGCGAAAACATCAACAAACCTGAAAAGAAACGAAAAGGAAGAAATGAGTTTAGCAATGGAGAGAGCGAGCGAGGAAGCGAGGAGGGCTGAGGAAATGAGACAAGAAGCAAAGAGGCAGATAGAGATGGCAGAAATGGATTATGAGAAGGCTAAGAGTATAAGGAAAGAAGCCAAAGCCGAGCTGGAGAAGGCTCAGTTTGTTAGAGAAGAAGCAATGAAGAGAGTTAATGCAACAATGTTGGAGATCACTTGTCGTTCTTGCAAGCAACTGTTCCAGCTCCCCGTTGTGGCTGATGAGAGTAAGACGTCTCTTATTATGAGTTATGTTTCCTCGGCGACAACGGAAGGGGAACGCGAATGATTCTATACTTCTTCACACATCCATACAGGGAAAAACATATTGGTTTATGTGAAATGATGGTATTTTAGTGGTTGCCATTGCGTGGATCAATTTTTTAATATATGCATCATTTTCTGTGTCCACTGTAAATTCCGAAAATTATTTGGATTTCGGTTAAAAATCTTTTCGGTTTTAAAATTAAAAGTTAAATTATTTGACTTTGGGCTGATACTAATAATTATTTTTTAAACCAAAAAAAGATGGTAGTTATTTGTGTGGGGTTCTTCTGATTGATTGAATGATTGGTGTAGTTTATAACTTTTGTTTTTGGAAAATTAACTTAATAATAAGGTTATAGAAAATGTGTTGTTCTCTTTATAACCTAATGGACCGTTCCCGGAAAAAATAAAAAAATGAATGGATCATTGATTGAGGGGGAACACTAATTAGCATTAAATGCGAAAGAAAATTGGTAGATGGTCGAAATTGTGTGCGTAAGATTCTCAGGTATAAATGATTGATGTCCACCTAATAAAATGTGATCACGAGTTGCCTCTTTCTATTTCCCATCTCTACATTCTAGTAGTTGTAGCTAAGTCTCAATTCAACCAAACAAGAATCATCTCTTTCACATAAAGACGGAATCTTCTAAGATACCAAAACCAAGAAAAATAAAATATTTTAAAATTTTCAAACCAAAAAATAAGAGTTAATTACCATTGTGTGAGGTGAATCTATACAACAAAGCAAGAAGAAGAAAAAATGTCTAAAGCTCTGATTTTATTCTCCAATAAATTACAAAAAGTTAGAAAGATGTGTGTCAAGAAACGTGGAGCAAACCTGACCATCAAGACAAATAATAAAACAAGGGAATTAGAGAATATAGTTCGACTAAAACATGTACTCCCTCTCTTTCAAAAGGATGTACTGTATGTTTTAGAACTGTAGACTTCTTAAGAAAACATATGAATTTTTAGTTATTTATACATTATTTTTTGTAACTAATTAGTTCTCATAATTTCTAACCAATAGAATTTTGATAACTAGTATATGTCTTATGAAATTTACAATTTACCATTAACTAATACATTAAATGTAAAAAATGTATTATTTTGAAACAATTTTTTTTTTCTAAAACATGAGACTTTGGAACGGAAGGAGTACAAGAAAACATGATACTATTCTGGCCATATGGTAAAAATAGTTTGCTTTATTTTTAAAAAAATAGTATGCTATTTTTCCAATGTTCTCTTTTAACTAGGACAATCCATCTAAACTGATTTTTCATATATACATAACTATAAATGTTAACGGTGGTAATAGGGGCGAAGCTTTAAGGGGCATAACTGAAACTGCTTCTAATTCGACATTTAATTTTGAAAAGTCATCAGGGGAAACTGCCCCACACTTACCCTATGTGACTTCGCCAGTGGGTGGTATTAAAACTAGTTGCATGGGAAAGAAATTTATTTTTTGGTATGTTTTTTATCTACCTGATTTTAGAACTTAAAACAGTATCTTAGTATAACTTGTTCTTTTAGAAAAAAAATTACAAATAAACCGAGGTATATTATGAAATAATATATCATTAAAACGAGTAGAATGAAGTCTGTATCATTTGTTGATCGGTTCAAAATTTTGAGCTTTTGAATGGTTTAATAAACTATAGTATACTAAAGAACTATGGGAAACCCATCAAACATGTGCTATAAAATGGGAGGAACAAATTCAAAAGATACATACTATCACGAAAAAGCCAAAATCGGTGTCAAAGGAAGAGAGAAGGAAATATATGCAATGATGTAGAGAGGTAGGGAGGAGTAAATGCTGTGTTTAAGGGCAGAAGTAGTTGTCATTTGGCCTTTTGAAGAAAAGAAAATACATGAATTTCAGTGCCAAAAAGATTGGTTAGTAGTCAGTGCTTCAGTCTCTCGCACCTGACTCTTCCCTCACTTTCATGATTTCATTTCTTCTCTCTCTCTCTGTTCACTTTACTCCTTTAAAGCCCCACACACTCTCTTCTCATGTCACTTCGTGATCTCCACAATCTTGCAATCTATTAATTTTATTTACTTTTGTTTTTGGTCAGAAAAAAAAAGGAGCAAAATTGTTAAGGATAAATATATGAAGCTTGTCGTTTTTGTGCAACACATATGAAGTGTTTTTATTTTTTATGAACACATTATCCACCCCACATATGAAGCTGGTTTAAAAACTAATTTATCAACATTTTTATTGGACAGGCAAATCCGTAAACCCAAAATTAAAGGCCCAATGTGATAGCACTCGGCGGATATGAAAAAATGGTTTATATTGGGCTTGAATATATTTGAAATTTGGGCTAATTTCATAAAGAATGATTTGCCATTTTAGACCTATTTTTCCACTGATCAACTCACATTTCCATCATTGCAAATTAGGTCACTCTTCTTCAATGTTTTACAACATGATCCGGACACTAAACCGACAAATTTTTAGATCACCGTATCGACCGCAGACGAACCGTGGTAATAAGTTAATTAAATTTAATATATAACTATATATTAACTATTAAAATATAAGAGAAATTTCACATTAAAAAATATAAAATATTTAAGTGGAGTATCTTTACTTATATTTTACATTTCACTTCAACTATATTTTAAAAAACTTTAAATTAACTCCTAATTTTTTTGAAACAAATTAAGAGTAAGTACATATAATAAAAGTTATAAACATAACAAGATTTAAATCTTATAAGTTATAGATTTCTAATGTAGCTAATAAAATAAATTTTAAATCAAAATAAACTAAAAGTTTACATCAAAATTGTAATTGATAATAAAATACATTTGACATGATAACCATTTCATATAATAATATAGAAAATATATTATACATACAAAAATTTAAATGCCAAAAATAAAGGCATAAATTAAATTGCAGAAATTTAAAGAGAATAAATAAAATTTGGAGGCTTAGCCTTCCAAATGATCCGAGGAGACATGGTCTACCATTGATCATTTTTATCAAGGTTTGAGGAGATATAGTCTGCCATATTAACATTTTCTTTTTATTCAAGGTCCGAGGGGATTTAGTCTACCATTTATGACATTTTCTTTTTATTCAAGATCCGAGGTGACATAGTCAATCATTTTGATCTTTTCTTTTTATTCACGGAGGCAAGGCCTACAACGTGTTCATCTGATCGTGAAGGCATAGTCTTTCTTAACAATCAGTTGGGGAAGGCAACGTCTGTCATTCCAAAAAATAAACGGAGAAGGTTTAGCCTCTCACTCCAGAACAATAATAAATTAACATAACTAAAATTATTGAAAAACATAAATTAAAACTTATTTTGCTGGTCGGAGAGCGTTCGTACTGATAACGTGTTATTACTTATTAAGTGAGGAATATGGTTTATTGTTTTATTGTACTTGTATTAATATATATTATTTAGTGTATGTTCAAATTGAACGAGAAAAACAGAGTAAAAGTGATTGTTGTTATTATTTCATATCACTCAAATGATCGTGACTGATCCTTTATATACCAAAGGAAGTCGGTAAAAACAAACCGAGGTAATAGAGGAAGACAAAACAATAGAAATGACACGTACAATGATGATAATGCAAAACTCTCAGGAGAGGATGAAAAGTGTTTATCTTGACAAAGAATCATCTTATTTAACAATATACTTAATAATTCATCTTATATTATGAGTGTCTCGTTAAAATTTTAGTCATGGAAAAACCTGTTGGACTAAAACCATGAAAAAGAAAAAAGAGTACACTGATGTAATTTTCCTCTGAACATAATAGACATAGTTTTTTTTACATAAGTCACACAAATGTCGCATTCCGATATCATAGCCGTGTTTTCGAAACATTGTAGTAGGAAGAGCCTTTGTAAATAAATCTGCTGGATTGTCGCATGACCGTACATACTTGATGTCCACCTTTTTATTTTTCTCGAATTCGCGTATATACGAGAAAAATCTTGGAAGAATATGCTTTGTTCTATCGCTCTTTATATAACCTTCTTTGAGTTAAGGAACACACACTGAATTGTTTTCAAATATTTTTGTCAGTTCTTTCTTGTTAACTATTCACTTGATTTTTGTATGTATTGGATCATTGAACTAAGTCACACACATTTTCGACATGCTTCGGAGAAGTCGAAACGAATCTTTATTTCTCAGAACACCATGTAGTCGCGGTTTCACCAATTGTAAAACCATGTTCCATTTGCGTTCGACTTTATAAATTGCATGTATCTGCAAGACCATACTAGACTCGAGATTTCTAGAATAAACCAATCTTAAATCAGTACGTACCTTGAAGAGAATGAATATATTTTTGACGCCGTTCTAATTTTCTTGAACGAGCATTAGTATCTCCAAAGTAGTTATTTTTATAGATCTTACCAGGATCTTTTAAAATAACATCTCTTTTAACATCGAGAGATCTATTTACTATTGGAGTACTCAAAAGAGTCGCTTTGTCCATACAAAAGAGTTTCAAGTTTCAATAATAGTTTCGGAGATGCTTAATCTGGAGCCCAAGACAAAACTTTGTCTTTTTTGAGATCTTTCATTTTGAGCTCTCTTTCATATGAGTCCAAGCATCATCAACCTCCTTATAAGTTCCAATAATGTTCAGGTCATCAATAGATACAACAATGATCACAAAGCCAGATGATGATTTCTTTATAATCTGTATAATGATCACTGTAACTGACCGAACAAATTTTCCTGGATTTTTCTTTCAATGCTTCTGGCATTTTCAATCCTTCAGGGAGTTTCATATATATATATATATATATATATATATCATTATCCAACGATCCATACAAATATGCAGTCACAACGCCCATAAGATGCATTTCAAGATTATTTGACGCCGTTAGGCTCATTAAAAATTTAAATGTAACTACATCCATCACCGGGGAATACGTTTCCACAAAATCAATTCCCGGTCTTTAAGAAAAACCTTGGGAAACTAATCAGGCTTTATATCGTGTTACGTTTCTCACGAATACCCACGAATACCCAATAAGATTTATATTCTCAGACGTTATGACTATAGGTCCAAAGAGACTCCAGGATGGACCTTGGATCGGGATCATCATTTTCATGATCAATCTCTTTGGACATAGAAAAGGAGAACATTTCATCAACATTTTATAATCTTTCATCATGGATGTAGTTGATGAAAATCTCATACTTTTCTGCTCCTTTCTCGTCATCTGGATCCTTATCACTTATGTCTTCTTTCACACATTTTTCAATATCAGGTTCTTCTGAAACCTTTCCATTTATGCCTTCTTACAGACATCTTTCAGTATCAGGTTCTTCTGGAACCTTTCTCTTTTGCTCAACCAATTTCTTTTTCCTTCGGGGATTTTTATCTTTAGAACCCGTTGATCTTTTGTTCCCATCAGTTTGTTCTTAACAAACAATAACTTTTGATGGAACATTATCAGCGGGTATACATGTGATTGTGTCACTCTTCTCGTATTCATGAACACATCAGGTAACTGGTTTGCCAAATCATGCAAATGCACAATTTTCTGAACTTCAGTTCTCTTTAATTCGAAGGGGATCAAGGTGTTACAACGACTGTGTACACCATCTAATCTCTTTAAGAATTTCTCTAATTCCTTCCCCTAACGCTGAAAATTCTTTCTCATTATATCACCATTTTATTAGTTCAAAGATACTTTATATACAGCTTGTTCTATATCTTCCAGAGTTTTATCGTTCACAAGGACATTATTGATTATTCAGAACTACTATATATCAAGATGCAACTCAAGTCGTTCATGTCTTGCCAGACATATCCATATACTGCATCTACTATGAATTTTCTCCACTGACCGTGGAACAAGCCGTTTTTCATACCTCAAGGTCATGTTTTATTTCATTCTTTCGAGAAATATACAAGTTGGACTTTTGGTCTAAACATCTCTCATTTTTCTAACGAGCTTTATATCAAAATTAATTGCCTCATCACTCTTAAGCTAATCAATTCACTCTACCCTCATGTATAGAGGTAGATTCAGGATCCTTATTTATATAGCGTTTTTTTCATTTAATTGTTTATTGTCGACAATCTATTTTCTCTTTGGTTCCATCTTTTTAATCCATACTGATGTGGTTAATCGAGATATCTTTATCATCATCGATAATTTACTCAGGTACCTGATTACACATTAACCATATCAACAGTCTCATCATGAGATTCATCCTCTATTTATATATTTGCTCATTTTCGAAGATTCTTTGGAACCAAAGTGGTCTATCACGTCTCTAGCGTGTCATAGACTCATATATCATCTTTTTGGGACACATTTTCTTATTGGAGCCTTTTCAGCTAAAATATGAAATTTCATCAAGATGTCTGGCAGTCACTTTATAAATGAATTATCCTACATAACTTTCATGTAATCAATTTCTCATATCTCATTCCATCAGCTGCTTATATGTTTCTCACAACCTTGCGAGCATATCTTTAATTATTCCATATACTTTTATCCTTTTTGGATTTTATATGACTCTGTTACATGCACAACTGCATTACACCCGATCATGGGGATCATTTTACTTTATCAAGTTTTTTTCTGCTCGCGAACATAATCATCTCAATGTTCCACCATTTGGATTCTTTAATTCTCCCTCTCAAGATGATGACATTTCATGTCTAAAGTCTCGTATTAAATCTCACTCTAGAACCAATAACATATTTAGTTTTTCCATTTTGAGATGAGTTATGTTTCAAATCCTTAGAGTGAGATATTGATTTGGGGTTTGTTTAAAGAAATTACATCTAAGGAATTTATTTTTCGATGATTCATCTCCCACGATGGTTTTCTTTATTTTCTTTAAGACATGCTATATGTGAAAACCTTTTGGTTTTTCAAATTTCACAATAATGTCAATAAAATTATTGTTCTAGATAACCATATATCAATAAATTTCAGGTTTACCACCATTTATAATTTTTGCCATCCTTTTTATGCATGTTTTTCATCATAAGTTTTTCTAGAGCCAATAATAATTTTTACATTACCAGAAATAATATATATTTTAAGAGAGGAGAGATATTTTGTACCTTTAATCCATGTACGATGAAGTATTTCCAAATATATATATATATATATATATATATATATATATATATATATATATATCTCCATCCTAGATCTTAAAATCGTGCATCTAGCTCTCACAAAATATGTATTGATAAAATAAACTTTATCTTTTTTTAGGAAGATAACAATCATGTCACATTGATATTTTCTTTTTCTTCTCTTTTTCTGGATCAACCAGAAAATCCAAAATATCAAAATGAGAATTCAAGTTTTGAAAAGATGCTCCGGGTTCATAAAAGATGAAGTTTATATCACTTCTTTTCTCTTTTCTTTTTGATTTTCAATACATATCGGTTTAATAATTTTGGCGTACTACAAAAGTGTACCCAATCATTTCTTTCAAGGAATTAACTTTCCTTTCTTTCAAGGATTTAATTTTTCTTTCTTTCAAGGATTTATTTTTTTTTGCTTTCAAAGACTTAATTACTCAAAAATCTCAGGATCTTTTCTCATGATAAATCTCATCTTAAACCATCATTAGAGTGGTGTAAAATATCATAGCTTTATTATTTTTCTTATCCGATGTAGTTTTTAAACTTATCGATGATTCTAAAAGCTTATTTACTTTCAGGTGCATCTTTGCACCCACTGTCCAAATCACATAATTATTTCTTATATTACCAAGAGCACTTATTTTGAGCTTTGTTAAATTGGCATGATAACCATATTTTTATAATAATATATAAAATATATTATACATACGAAAATTCAAATGCATAATTTAAATGTAGAAAGTAAAGGCATAAATTAAATTGCAGAAATTTAAAGAGAATAAATAAAATTTGGAAGCTTAGTCTTCCAAATGATCTGAGGTGACATGTCTACCATATTGATCATTTTTATCAAGGTTTGAAAAGACATAGTCTGTCATGTTAACCTTTTCTTTTTATTCAAGGTCCGAGGAAATTTAGTCTATCATTTTGACATTTTCTTTTTATTCAAGATCCGAGGTGTTTATCTGATCGTGAAGGCATAGTCTTTCTTAACAATCAGTTGGAGAAGGTAACGTCTGTCATCCCAAAAACTAAACGAAGAAGGCCTAGCCTCTCACTACAGAACAATAATAAATTAACATAATTAAAATTATTGAAAAATATAAATTAAAACTTGTCTTGCTGGTCGGAGAGCGTTCATGCTGATACTGTGTTGTAAATTATTAAGTGAAGAGTATAGTTTATTGTTTTGTTATACTTGTATATTAATATATATTATTTAGTGTATGTTTAAATTGAATGAGAAAGAGAAAGTAAAATGATTGCTGTTATTATTTCATCACTCAGATGATCGTGAGTGATCCTTTATATACGAAAGGAAGTCAGTCAAAACAAACCGACGTAATAGAGGAAGACAAAACAATAGAATGACACGTACAATGATGATAATACAAAATTCTCATGACAGGAGGACGAGTGTTTATCTTGATGAATAATCATCTTATTTAACAGCTACTTCATAAATATTGTATGTAAAAGAATGGTGTAATAGTGCTTATCATTGTAAATTTTCATTTAGTGTTAAATGAATTACAGGAAATAAGCTGTTTTAAAAAAAGATTGCTATGTAATTTAGTTAAGAAGATAATGTGATATTCTACAAACACTAATGCAACAAAACTTTTGACATAAATCATCCAAGTGCAAACACACAAACCACAGAGTGTAAGCATCATCCACGTGAATGATACGATACAGAAACTTAAAAGAGATGATCAAAATCTTGGGTCTTTTAAGAGGTTTCGACGTCAGAGAGATCCAAACCTTCTCGGTAAAGCTCAAAGTCATTAGGGCTCCACCTGCAAACTAAGTTGAGTTTGAAAGTAGCCAACTTGATTCCCAACAGACGCTGCAGTTATTGTATAGCCAAAGTATCAGCAAAATTTAAGAAAACTAACAAAAAGGCAAGGCTTTTTAGAATAGAGAGAATCTTATTTACCAAAATGCGAGAAGATTCTGGTGAAAGAGGTTTGCCTTCTTCACAAACTACAAAGTCAGAGAGTAACTCTACCGTACCTACACAATGAAACAACAACAAAAAAAGTAACTTTGTGGATCAAGATTTCTTACAATACTAGTGAATGACAGAGAGGGAAACCAAAAGTGGCAAGCTTACAAACCTTTGTTAAGCCGAACAGGCATACCCTGCTTCCTTAGAAACGGTTCCATCTCATGTGTGAACTGTTCTAGAGGACCTTCCTTCAGCTCAACCTGACCAATTCAATGGCACCAAAACAGACTAGTTCAGTTACTAAAAACGGAAACATATAATCGTTTGTTTGTTTATTTAGAGACAGGGATATATAAAGCAGGAAGTAGTTCTATTATTAACAAACCGTTTCTACAGCAGTGCTTCCAGTCCTTGAAAAGTCTGAATCCTCATAGGCGTTAAATAGGCTGCAATGCAATCAGAAGAAGGATTTTGAAACAGTTACTAAAACAATAAATAGAACAAGAAAAATAGTACTTCAAGAGATAGCTTACCTTTCAACGTCTTCCTTTGGCATATCTGTAACAAGAAGTCCAGCATCACCATGGAGAAGCTGAAACAACATATGTTAAAATGTAAATGACAACAAAGCTAAGAGATATCCATTTTAAGCAGCAGAGTACACAACCTTGGAGACTTTAAAGATGCCAGGACGGATTTCATCAGAAGCCGAACGACCAAGAGCAACCTGCATCACTTTGTTCGAACCGAGAAAGAACCTGAACCAATACGAAAACAAACGATATCACGAAACTAGAAATCAAAGACTGAATGGAAACAGATACCAATGTATTCATGATTACAACAACAACAAAAAACAGAGAAACCTACTTTCCATTGTGTCTAAACTGCTGTCTAAACTCCTTGAATTTGATATTCCTCATGTTTTCGAAAGAGAAAACATAGATGGAATTATATTTCTCGACAGCCTCTCTGATTCCATTTACAATAGTCTCCTTGTGTGCCCTTCCTTTCTTCTTTGTCTTGGACAAAGTAACTGCAAAAACAAAACAAAGGTTTAGGCTTTATCCCAAAAGGGTTCTTCTGAATGATCTTAGAAACCCTAAAACCTTTGACGGCGGTTACAAACAGACAGAGCTCATTAATGAAGATGCAATAGTTTCAGAACCATGAAAGAGTGAAGTAAAGACGAAAGAGATCTCACCTGGTCGGTCTCGCTTTGATTTAGGCATGTCTTGTAGGGGTGAAGTGAAAGTGAGAGAGAGTGAGAAACCAAAGTAGACGGCTTTGCTTTTCTCAAGCTCCTCTTTCAACTGAAACCCTCGTTCCCCGCTTTCGTTCGTCTTTTTATTTCGCACCCGTAAGTCTACCCGACCCGGATCAGGCCCAAGGTGATCCGAGCCGGCCCATTTTCAGAAATCTAGGCCATTGTGTGAATAAATTACTTAATTTAAACTAATTATATTTTCTCAAACATATTCTTTTGTAGTTATTTCTTATTTTTTCACATTTCATATTATTTATCTTATATTAAAACAGACTTCATGGCTTCTTTCATTTATGATATTTCATTGTATACCAATTCTAAGAAAATCATCACATTTAATTATCTTATCATTTAGTTTTTAAAATAAATATAATTACAAATGTTTCTTATTAATATCTTAATAAACCAAAAATATACTATTCTTAAGGAGAATCTCAAACTTTTTACAATGCTAAAATAAAAAATCTGTATTCAAGACAAATAAATTGAATATAATTAAATATATGAACTGATTTATAAAAAAATACTTTAACCTATTAATCTAATAAGTATTAACAATATATATATATATATATATATAATTATTTTGTAGGCCTAACTATTTTGTAGGTACATTATTAACAAAAAAAAATCATATGTTATGCAATCATAATATATGATTATATATACATATGATTGTGTACATTAGTTTTAGTATTATATTATGCAACCATAATATATGATTAATGTTATTATTTCGATGATGTCAAAAAAATATCACAATATATGATTACTCTTTAATATTATTAACATTTTTATCAAATTAATACCATTCTAAAACACATAACAAAATTTGTTTATAATCATATAACTAAATTTAAATAAATTCAATCATATATATTTAATGTCATTCTCTAGAATGATGTTCAAACGTTAAATCTAAATTGAAAAATAACTTGACTTATAAATAAATTGTAATCTATATAATTGAAAAACTATAACATATTTTTTCTTTGAAACATATGTATTTACAAATATAGACATACTAATATATATAATCAACTAAATTACACTATTTTCATTTTTCTTACTTTGAAATTTGATTTGTTCAGACACATTAAAGAAAAAAAATAATATTTTATCTAACCAACTGCATTATTAACTATTCACCTAATCATAATTCAAAAATAAAAACGTTAAAGGGAGAATATAAAAAAAATATAGAAATAAAAATCATTAAACTTGCATTGAAAATTGAAAATATCATCTAATTCGAACTGAAAATAATTCTCTAAAATATCATATATTAAAAATAAAGTGAATATATTTTACAAATAAAAACACTAGAAAATTTTATGCTTTGTATTGAATTATCAAATTACAAGTTAGTTATCTAAGATATCAATGTGATTGTTTCATTATGCAAAATCGCAAAACGCAATCGACGTAGTTTATGATTTCCTCAATTCAATTTGGAAAAAAACATTAGTGCAGATCAAAATCTAGTTTTTATTAAATTTGTTATCGATCCGACTTTTGTCCTAACCTAAAACGTGTACATCAAATTTGCATGTAACAACCAGGAAGAACTGTTTGAGTAAACACCTTTCCACTTAATTTAGATCATACAGAAGTAAATGTAAACAACATAAATTGCGATCCGGAACATTAGTTTTCGTTCAAAAGGTTCGTTTTCGTTCTAGTTTGGCTGATTGATCGAATTTTAAAATTCGAATATATCTTTCTTAACTTGTTTCGGGTCGTAGTAATCCACAAAGTGACGACAGATTGGGAGAATCAAATCAAACTTGTATAATATAAAACGGGTTGCCATGATATAAACATGACATATCAACAAGAAAAAACAAAAATGATTAACTCATATACAAGTAAATTAACAATAAACAAAAAATTATGGAACGTTTAAAGCAAAATATATAATAAACATTTTTTATTATAACACTTGATCTTATTACTTAAATGATATGGACATAGTCATAGAGTAATACATCATTTATGAATATAGGAACATAGCTACTACCGGCTTTATACATGTGTTGGAGACATATAAGCACATGATCCAATTTATTTGGTAAAAATTTAACTAGTGAAAAAAGTCCATTTTTTTTTTATTTTGTCCTTCTTTTTTTTCGGTCAAAGTTTTTAAATAAAATCAAAGGGCATAGTCCAAAGTCAAGTTCCAAACAACATTACAAAAACCCAAAGAGAGGCCCACACAAAATAAGAAGCTAAATAAACATAACGGCCCATGAGCCCGAAAACCCTAATCCAGACCAACTTTCCAGACGCAGCCGCCACGCTGCCGCCACGCTGCCACATCATCTTCCCCGGACACGTGTTCTAACGCAGACCCATCTCCAACCTCCGGAACTACCACAGAAACACGACGGCATACCGTCGACGGCGGAGATGGCTCCGAGACAAGAACACCCACCCCAACAAACGCTCTGAAGCTCGAGAACAACAACTTAAACGAGCATCAAACCAACCAGATCTACGAAAACAACCACATGACTAGACGCCTTCAATCGATCATCCATGTCCGACATAACTATTATGTGGTACCAGATGTCGTGATCGAGAGACAGAATAGCATAACTCATAAGTGTAAACGAACCGTAGATCTCCTCCGAAACATGGAGCTACCACGACGACAATCTAGTCATCCGAAACCCTTAATTTAACCAAAAGCTGAACGACCACCGTAGGGAGGCGTGACGCCGGAGACGAAAGCCGAACGACCACCATAGGGAGGCGCGACGCCGGAGACACAGGCCGAACGACCACTATAGGAAGGCGCGCCGCCGGATGCAAAACCAAAAGAGTAAAACTAAAAGTTGGGACAGAGAATAACAAGACAAACACATCATTAACATCTGACCGGCATCGAGGCTAAGAGAGCCCTCCACGCCGGCCAGATCTAAAAGCTTCTCGACTTTAGTTCTTTCTCTCCTTTTTCTCTTGGGACAGTTGTATGAGGTTTGACCTTCTTTTTCTTTTATTTTGTTCTTATTTGGTCCAAATATTTTAGAATTGTCTTGTATTCATAACAATAAAAAACTATCTTATAAAACTCATAACAAGCTTAAGGGATCTTATTTAGATTTTTTTAAAAAAAAATTAGGGCTTTTTTATCTTTCTTAGCTCATGACCTTAGGAAATAATAAGTCGGGCCTGAACATAGTAATGGAAATAAAAAAGAAACTTCATCTTGTATTCTCTCCTTTGCAAGTATATCTGCTACTTTATTTGAGATACGAGGGATCCATGTAAAGCATAGATCATCAAATTTCTCCTTTCACCATATGTTTTCTCGTTTCCAATTGTAAGCATCAAAATGAAGTGTCTTGTTGTTGAGGATGTCTACCGCCTTCTTACAATCACTCTCAATGATTACTCGTTTCTAATCTCTACTCCAAGCATGTTGTATAGCCATCAATATAGCATGTAGTTCACTCTCCAAAGCACTTTTAACTACATTTCCTTTCGCATGTACTGCACCTTTGTAGCAGCCATTATTGTCTCTTATAACTCAACCAACTCCACCTGGTACTTGATCATTCAGAAAAGACCCATCGACATTATACTTTAGCCAACCTTCAGGGGGTCTTGTCCACGTCTTGCATTGTGAATTACTTGAATCTGTGTGAGATATGTTGATCATGATTGAACCTTGTGTTAGTCCACCCTTCTTTTGCATCTTCATAGGCTTGTGTTAAAGTCATTCTCTAGTGTATAAACCTTTTTCGAAATATTAATATGTTTCAACTTTTCCAAATCCTTCAAAGGAGCCATAGAGGCAAATCATGAAAATGTTGCAGACGATGTGAAGTACTGTAACAAAGTCATTCTTCTATCTTCTCCTCAAAAGACGTCAATGAGTTATAAATCACCATATTTGAGACTCCAAACTCCCTCTATATCGCCTGAGCATATGTACAATAAAAAAATAGTGTTCCTCAGTTTCAGTGGCTAACCAACATCTTTTGCAGATCCTATCTTGACTAATATGTCTCCGCATTAGCTTGCTTCCAGTAGGGAGGACTTTTGATAACATTCTCCATATAAAATGTTTGTGCTTTGATGGGACTTTCGTTTTCCATATCTTTTGCTTCATTGTTACAGATCCAGGAATTGGAAAATCTTCAACCTGCTGAAGGTAGATGAGAACTAAGGCAGTAACCTTATTTAACAGTATATAGACCATCTTTATTATAATGCCATCCAAGAAGATCTTGTGTTGCTTTTGAAGTAATCTTAATCGATAGGATAATCTGAACATTTTTTGCTATTATTTCACGTCGAAGTTTTTCTTCATCCCATTAATTTTCATCCTCAGTGAAGAAATGATTAACCATACTCTAACTGACATGTTGAATTAGTGGTCGAGGAGGCCGTGGTGGATGACTTGGAATCCAAGCTGGATCTGTCCACGTCTTAATTTGAGAACCATCTTCTACTAAATAGCGCATTCCTTGCTTGACCAAATCTCGACCATGAATAATTGATTTCCAGGCATATGATGCTTTCGTTTTTATTGTAGATGTCAAGATATTACCATCAGGAAAGTATATAGCTTTCAAAATCCTTGCCATGAGACATCCTTGATTCTATAATATTCAAACATGTTTCCCCAATAATGCTTGGTTAAAATTTTCTAAATCTCTAAAGCCTAAACCACCTTCTCTTTTAGGTAAACTTAATCTCTTCTAAGAAATCCAATGTTTCCCGAACTCCACCAGAATCTTGCAAGTAAACCATTGATTTCATCACATACTTCTTTTGTGAGTCTGAATACATTCATAGTGTAGATCGGCATTGCAAGAGCAATAGCCTTCAACAGAACTTCCTTGCCTCTAGGGGATAGGTATCGTTGGTGCCATCCTTGAGTAACTTTTTTAACCTTCTCCACAATGTATCAAAACATCTCACTTTTCTTGCTACCAAACTGTTCAGGAACTCCTACATACTTACCTATTCCACCTTCATTGTGTATACCAAGAATATTCCTTATGCTTGTTTTAACTCCTT